AAAACCAATTGCATGACCAGTCATTAGATTGAACACAAGACCAATCCAAAGACCAGTCACAAGTAACAGTGTGAACAGTGACAAGCCATTGCTTTTGTTGCAGTTCATTTAAGTAGCTCGTAACATGAATTCAGTTCTGATGGTCTTCAGGGGTCTTGAGATGACCTTATGGGGTCTCCACTACAGCACTAGTTGTAGGGCATTATCACCCAAGACATCAAAGTTGTGTGTTCGCGACCCAGCGCAATAAACATGCAAAAATGTCCTGGAAAAACAGAATGAGATTTTGACGTGCATTGTTATTCCTCAGACTTTATCATAATGCAAAGACTACATTAGTGATGTGTTTCCTTGGGAAGTGATGAGTTCTGTCTGTCTGTCTGTCTGTCTGTCTGTCTGTCTGTCTGTCTGTCTGTCTGTCTGTCTGTCTGTCTGTCTGTCTGTCTGTTTGTCTGTCTGTCTGTCGGTCTGTCTGTCTGTCTGTCTGTCTGTCTGTCGGTCTGTCTGTCTGTCGGTCTGTCGGTCTGTCTGTCGGTCTGTCTGTCTGTCGGTCGGTCGGTCGGTTGGTCGTCTGTCTTGGGAGTCAGATTGGCAGAGTTTTCAGGTTGTCAGTCCTGATTCTGTAGGTTTACTTTGAATGTTTTATCTGAGGTTTTGCCCTCACCTCTGAAATCAAACATTTTCTTCAAAGTCTGCACCCCAGGACCCCTATGGAGGACGATCTCATAGGTTAGAGGTAGGGCTGCCCTTGTTATAAAATGCAACGAAACGTTAAAAAGAAACGACGCATTGAATCATTCTGTGTACACTTTTATTTTTTCCTCCCCAGCTCTTGTCGCTTCCTGGCAGCCCCACGCTGACATGATCAGCAGCCTCATAGTGTGTGAGAGGAACGATCGCACACTCATCATTTCCTCCTCCACAGACTGTAGCGTGCAGGTGTGGGACATCTATGGCATATGCATCGGCACATTTGGCCAGGTTAGTTCCGCAGCTAGCACCATCGACGTCAATTACACTCTGCGAAACCTCATTCACATAGAAGCTGTGTTTGCGATATTACAGTACACGGCGTTGTGCATTGGGGGATGTTGTAGAGTTGGTTAGAAGGTTTCACAAGCCTGCTGGGGTTAGATTAGGGTTGAACCCATAACCTGTTGCTTGTCAAGCCTGATATCTTGAAACTCAAGCTCTGAGCCGAGCCATTTTTTGACAACAGGGACCATTATTGATAACTTTGGATAGAATTAACCCTCTCAAAGCAAATATCTGAGTTCACCCATTCTTTTTGGAGGCCAATTTTAAACTTGCCAAGACTTCATGAAGCTGTTTGAAAATATGTTGTGCAAACCGCCATTGGAAACATGTCGATTGATGGTTTCAGACTTTTACATGGATCGGTAATTAAACATGACTTTTCAGGCAAAATATCACACATAAAAGTTTATGAGTAAGAAATACACCATTTTTGTAAGGAAACATAAAGTAATAATAATAACAATAATAACAATTCTTTTATAGCACCAAATCCACCTAAATTGAATCTCTAGGCGCTTTACATGCAATAAAGATCGTTAAAATGATCATAACAAAGTAAAACTTAGATCAAAAATTAACAATAAGAAACTTTAAGAATCTTAAATACGCAAGTTAAGCTAACCAGGAAAAAAACATCAATCTAAATTTCAGATATTACACGTGAAAAGTACAAGTTCAAAATGTAGATTAAATGTAAAATTTAAAGAGGAAAACAGCAATTAACATACAGAAACACCATAAGAGCAAAACAGACACTACTGATGGACTTGGACAAACACAGAAACAAACACAGACAAACAACTAAGAAACAGAAACAAACAAGAACAGATGGAGTGGGTGGGCTGTTTATTTCTCAAACCTCTTTGTGGATTTGGACAATCTGGAAAGGTAAAAGCTAAGCTAGGTTTAACTAGTTTCCAATTGCAAATATTACAGGAGGATCACTGGAAGATCGAACCCTTCTGCCCACCCCCTGAGGTCAGTCCTGAAGAAGAGGCAGAGTATTCAGACAGCGGCGAGTCTTACAGCGGTGATGCTGCCGAAACCTTCCAAGATGTGATGACTGAAGAGATGATGGAGGGCTTGCTGGATCCACTAACAAAGGTCAACACGTGGGAGAAGACCAGGCTCGGTAGGTCAAAGGTTACAGGTCACCGTAGTAGTACTTGGGTCATTTTCACCAAGCTGTGTGCTGGGCTCGCAAATCTGCTTAGCACAGAACAAGTCGGATAAAAAGTGATGGCTCTATCCCATTCAGAGAGGCTCGCTCTTATAGATTGAATCCAAACAAAAAACCTTTGGGTGCTTTCGAAAAAACACATGTTTATTGGAGGGTGTGTCACCGTGTGTTTTATTCCTATGTGGAGACAAAAGTGGAGCCTCGGGATGGTAAAAATAATAAGAATTACACTTGTGTAGACCGAAACCATGTTTACCCAAGCTGTGGGTTGGGTTGTACCTGAGGAAGCAGCGGGAATGCATTTTCGACCCTTCGGGGACTCATCAGCCGCTTGATTCAAATATGAATCGGGGGTGTACAGGTATGGCTTAGTGAGTGGAATGGCACTCACTAGAGGGAAAAGTGGTTTAGACGGGGATGGAGACAAGCTTAAGACTGTTCCCAGTGCTATTTTCTGCATTGGAGAGAGTGATAGCTTGGAGGGGTTGTGCTTGCTTTTGTTGGCTAAGTTTTTTCTGCTGGGTGGGTTGGGATTGCCATCGGGGATTTGAGCAATTATGGGCAAATCCGAAGCATGGCTTGGAGTTTTCCTTTTTGCAACAAAGGCTAGTTTTCCTACTAGTCGTGGTAACTGATAAAATAGCAGTTGTGGCAACACAGTGAACTTTTTTGGAAGAGGTGTTGGCTCTGAAAAGACCTGTCTTTGTGTTGTTTGGAGACTGGATGAAGTTAGAGTATCCGCGGGAGAGTTGCTCTGTTGGTCGATCGCTCGCAATGGAAATGGGCGAGCATGTGTTTGTAGAGGTGCCGCTAGTTGATGGACAAACATGTAGTCCTTGGTTTGTAGTAGGCGTGTCTTGTTGGAATCTTCTTTCCTTGATGCTCGATATCCCGTTGGTTGATTCTGAGTCCTTTCTCTAATTTGGCTGAGAGGCCACTTCATGGGCCAAATTATCAGGGAAAGGATTGTTGTGGAATTCAGACAGGTCCGAATATGAGAAATCAATTTTCGGGATCACTTGGGATCAAGGCATTACAGGGAAAACTGAGCTTTACTGGCCTGACATACTGGAGTCATTGGCCATGGAATGAGATTAGCCCCTAGGGAAACCTCATTTGTGAGTTCCCTGTGGAACAAAGGAACTGTGGCCTGCAAGATGGCAGCCATGCAAACCTTCAATTGCAATTGGTGAAAACCAAGATCTAGCTGTAATTTATCAGTGTCATTACACCACTCAGTAGGAACTAAATGCCAGCCCATCACAGGTACTCTTGTCTTGCCACCTGCTGGTCTTAACTGATATGTTTTATTCACGCACAGGCAAGGAGTACCAGGAGCTGAGGAGCAAGAAACGAGAGCGTAAGCAGCCGGGGACCATCCCTGAGCTGCCCTACCTGCACTGGGAGAAGATCCCGGCAGCACCGGCACCCATGGGCAATCCAGCCGGAGGGCCGTTTGCTGTAAGCCACAGAAACTGTCACTCAAATGTCCCAGTCGTTTTGTGTTTGCTTGTGAAGCCGAATGCGCAGCCTGTGAATGCATGTAGTTGACACCACCGTAGATCATAGCTGACATAAGATGTTGTCCTCTGATGAACTTGTTTAATGCTTAGCGTGAGTGCAAATTTGGTCTTAATGTGCTCACAATAAAATCAATTTGAGTCGTACCTTGACATGTTTACTGTGCTAAAATGTATATTTTTGCTGTGCCTTTAAAGATCAGCATTTCTTTTCACTTTCACCATTGTTGACACAGAATATGAAGTGTCCTGCGCTTTAAAAGCTTAGACTGAAGTTAGAAATGTTGACTCCACAAACAGCAAGGTCCAGATATCTGTCATTTAAAACTCTAAGAACATGCGTTACTTGACATCCAAAATAAAACCTTTGGTAAAAAGTGCCAGATTGAAAATTTCACTTATTTTTTTATTTTGTCTGAAATCTACTAGATACAACTTGTTCCTGTAGTGACAGGACAGCATCCAGGACAGCATCCTTAAGGCGCAACACAAATTCTTTCTGAACGCTCGAAACCATCGCTGCCGTTCATACTGAAAAAGCTGAATTGAAAATACCAGTGTACTCTAACGATACAATTTCATCGTTGCGTTTACAACTGCGAAATTTCTGCTTCTTCAATCATGCCCCTTCACACTGTGCTCCTGTATATGCTGCTTACGTAGCCGCACACCGTCAGGCCTCGTCACCCCTCGTTCCATTATGTAATCATTCACCTTTGACCCTGTACACATCGGTGTAAAAGAACATTGAAACAAGCTCCAAGAAATTATCATATGCCATGAAACCAATTTTGCTGGGTTTGCCTTGTAGTGTTTTGTTGTAGTTTACAAGCGTGCCATTTCTATCATTCCAAGGGAAGAAAAGCAGAGTAGAATTTCTTCCTCTTCTGTTTATCACTGTTCCGTTGTTCAAAAATGAGTGACTCTTTATTTTTACATATTGGTCATTCCATGAAGTTCGAGCCCAGTTTGTGACGGCGTCCCATGTTACATCGGTAACTTTTATTGCCCTTTATTTTCACATTACAACAGATTAAGCCATTATTATTCAGCAAAGATGAAGCACACCACTACAAGAACCTAGCAAGATTTAGAACAATGTCAATTTAGAATCCACATGAAGGGAAAACAGATGTTTATTTTCACTGATGTAACAAGGGACGCCGTTACAAACTGTGCCCGAACTTCGTGGAATGACCCCGATCCATATCTGCATGCAATTACACATGCCAAAATATTCTGACCCAGATTTGCCTCTTCACATCGGCATGCATTCATTCATTTGCATGTAGTTCTAGTCTTCTCATTTGCAGCTCATTACTGATGCTAATCATATGCACTGAACATTTGACCCCTCCCAGCAGCCTCCTGAGAAGATAGTCCTTCCTATGTGGACCCAGGTTTGTGCATGCCATCATCAGTCTGATTAACAGTTTATTGTCATTGCCTGTGATCAAATGCAACTCAGTTTGCAGTTTGGCATAAATTTACATGCGCTTAGTTTCCTGGCAAATACTTCATCACGCTTTGTGCGAAAAACAAGACTGATACCAGTGCTGTGCAGCCTTATTGCCAAGTTCCTTTCCAAATCTGTGGGATATATTAAAACATAGGTGAATCTATTGGGTCTTGCTGTGGTCTGAGTGCACTCCATTGTCCAGATAACTTAGGTTGAAAGCTTCCAGGGGCCCACCAATCCACTTGCATATATGCACTTCCAAGAACAACCAGCTTTCAATGGACTGGTCCAACTTCCAGCATCATTGCATGCTAACTATTTAGCTTTAGATTACAACCACCATGTTTTTGCATCTTCATTATAAATTGCACAGTCAAGATGATGTAGCCCTTTTAGCTGTGTCTTTTTAGAGACCCGCTAATGAGACTGGAGATTTTTCAATAGCTCTGTAGCAAGGAAACCTGAAAACTACTCAAAAGCGGACGAAGAAAATGCTTTTAAGGTGGGATGAAACCCTAAGAGATTTGGCAGACTGGAGACTTGTGGCATTCAGGAACTGTTGAGCATTTTCCTGTATGGTTTTGTTCGTCTTTTCTCTTTGAGTCATATCGTTCGTTTCACAGGCATTGACTGTGCCCGAATTAGACGAAGTTGGGACGTTAAGGAAGCCAGACTTCATCACCCATCCCCACCGATACTTCCGGGATCGAGAAGATGTCAACAATGCAAAAGTACTGGATAAAGACCCGGAAGAAATCATAAGTGAGTTGACTTCAAGTTTTGCAAAATGGATTTTTATTTTGTAATGCTAAAGTTCTACTGTCCACTAGTACTGTGAACACAAGTGCTCTAAAGTGAACACAGCTTTCAGGAGTGAACGCTTTAGTATGTGCCACGAGTTGCATAACTGTTACTCACCAGTAATCCAGGCCAGAATTTGAACAAGTCAGCAGTTGAAAAGGTTTAAATTCAAATGATACCAGTGTAGATCTGTGTTTGGTTTGCTGAATGTGGTGTTGACATGATGGAAGGTTTGAGAAACACTCAATGAGACAATGTTCAGCTTTAACACAATGACGTCTGACATCACAGGTTGGTAATGTGAGAGTCAGGAGTCATTCAATCCCTGAAGTCACAAGGTCAAAGGAGCAGTGATAGTGGCATTCCTTTGTGATGTGTTAACCCCTTTCTTCTTCCAGGGCCCACATACCATCCTTACCATTTTTGTTGATTTGCGTTTAGTTCTATCCAAATTGCCACTATTTTTATAACGCCCTCAGGCTTTTTAAATTGGCTGCAATTTTTATCTCCTGGAGCAGAGGACGTTAAGTTGTGAGTCCAGTTTATGCATAAATTATGCCATTACGCCTGTGCACTTGTCACACAGGTTCTTAAACTTAAGACTTGCATTTTGGTAAGTATCATCACCATGTTGATGGAAGAGGAGTTGATTGTTGGTGGTAAAATAAGACCTTCAGGTCAGCATGGCATCACAGAAGATGCATGGCTTCCGATGCTGGTCACATTCTATGGACATGGGTGTCACAAGCTCTTTGAACTCCTTTTTGTTGTTTTTGTCAAGACCTGAAGAATGCCTATGACGAGCGCAGTCTCTTCCCAAAGTACATCCTGGAGTTTGAGGCCCGCATGAAGACACAGCACCGTGAGGAGCTGGAAGCGTTGGGGGGCGGCGGCCAAGGCGTTGGCAGGGGGCGTCTCACCCACCGCCGCTCCAAGGCCTGGTCCATGGTGGCCAGTCAGAGCGGCTCGGTGGCTGGCGTAAATGGGGGCGCGGCCAAAGGCGGAGGAGGTGGAGGGAATGGACACAGCCGACCCGTCCGGTTGTCGCCCTTGCCAGAGGGGAAACGGCCCAAACCACATGAGAGCTTGCCTTGACCACGAGTCACGCACGACTAGCTTGTGGGGACCACTATTGTAGACCATCCATTTAATGTTGCTTGTCGCATTTAGTCTGACATAGCTCACATCCAACTTACTTTGCTGTGGCTTGCAATAACACAAGCAGTTATGGAAGCCCCTAGCTAGCGGCTCCCATAGAGGAATGTGTGAATCTTAGCCTCAGCCAGTTTATGGGGACATAGAGATCACTGAACGTGTGTTATTACCATTGTAACAGTTTCTGCGATGGTGATAATCTTGGGCCCTGTTTGTTTTATGTAAGTCAATAGCAGCTGTGGATCACGTTTAACTGATCCTGCTCCCAGCTTGGTTCACAAGATCATTGGATCTGGATCAGGCTCTGTGATGAAACAAACGGTCCCATATAGCTTTCACTGAACCATCCTCTGATCGGACCATTCCCTTCACATTTGGCCAATATTCAGCACTAGCATCTTAAAAGGCTCTGTTGCCAACAGTCATGGCACAGGGTAATTTGTAGCATGGGGTTGAATAAGAGGCTAGACTGGCAAAAGTTGCAGTAACTCGATCAGCAGTGCACACATCCGGATCCCGGCTACTGGCAAATCTCGTGTAAAGCTAGGCCTAGGTCTGTGCTGATTGAGGCACATTGGCAGGTGTTGAGAGACTGGATTCAGCCACAGGCTGTTTCTAACATGGCCTTTCTTTTCTTAGAGGCAGCTCCACTTAAGATCCAGCTCGGTGATTTTGAGCAAAAAGTGGATGACCTGCAATTTTTTTTCTACCCTGTCCATTTAAATAGTTTCTTTAACATTCAGAGATTTAAAAAAATGTTGAATTTGAAATTATTCTTATCAGATTATTGGATAAAACGTAAGGATATTTTCAAAAACAAGTACAATCTTAATACACTGGCTTTCCATTTGTTCTAAACAAATATATCATAATCATTTATGCATAAGACCAAGCAAGGTCTGTTTTTCCATGACGGTAAATATCAACTCAGGTCTTGGTCCAGTGAACAAAATTTTGTAATGAAAAATTGAAGGTTTGTTTGTGTATTGTTTTCCATTGCACAAGATTTGTTTTGGTTTTAGTGGGTTTATCAAATGTTTGGGATATCCCCTGCTGTGCGTTATGTGTTTCTTTGTTCCATATGATCTGGAGATCAAGCGGCTTTAAGTGGAAAGTTTGTGGGACTTGGGTCCAATTTGTAAAATTGGGCCAGCCGTGTTTGATTTTATTTCAATATAAATGATCTGGTCTTAAATCTGATCATGTTTTTTAATCATATGCAAGAGTAATGCCTTTGGTAGCCAATCCGTCCAGTTTGTACATCTCTTTTAAAAAATTTGTTAGACATTGTAATTAATTTTGAGTGAAGAATCTAGTTGTAAGACTAATTTATGTACAGAGCTAAGAGTGTGAGTTATGAGGCATGTACTAATACAAAGAAACTTGTGTACAGCTAAAAGTTGCAAGTTTTGTGTCAGCTTTCTTATCGAGTTTCCTGGTCTCCTCAAAATGCTGAAACTTAAATCCATAACTCACCCCCCCTGCAGACATGTCAGAACACTAGAAATCCAGTACCACTCTCTGTGCATGAGCTTGATTTTAAATTGAGTATTTAATAAGCATGGTGCATACTGACAGCCGCCATGCTCTGTCTTCCGCAATCCTGCAAATTCTCGAAAACCCCAAGTGCATCTTGAAAGAACCTCAGAAATATGGGATTAACGGAACAGCTCAACGCCAACCATAAAGGCCACATTCCACATAAAAAACACTGAATCTCTTTATTCAATTTTTTGGCTCAAAAAGGCAAAGGAGCACTTCATGCATGTGCTTCAGTTGATACACAGAGTGTTGCAATGTTCAGCTTTAACGGAAATTAAACTTGACTACTATGGACAAAACGTATTGGACGTGACCTTAATACAGCGACAATAGATATACAATCTCATTTTTATGCCTTAGAAGATGTCCTTGCTAGAAAATTAGTTTTATGAAAAATAGTACCCAATGAAACTGGATTGGCAATGAGCCAAGTTCAAGATTTTCTTTGCCGAGAAAATCCCTGCCAAGAAATGATTAGGAAATACCTGCATAAGTGTCATCACACAGAGAACATGCCTTGGACTGGTACTCTGCTGTTTCCTGCTTCAAGGAAACTGGCCAGGCGGCTGTGAAATTGGGCTGCGAATTTTGAACGGACATCAGTACTTGAAGGTTGTTGCAGGCAACTCTAATTGGCCTACGATAATGAGACTGATGTCTGTGGTTGCACATTTGCAGATGGCAGGGCAACTCAGCTGTTGAAGTTCTTGCTATGTCTACCGGTGGCAGCCCATTAATATGACATTAGGTAGCCAGCAATCAGAATATGACTGGACCAGAACTGCAAAGCTTTAATACATCTCCTACAAAAGTGAACATGCAAATTTTGATGATTTAACACGACCAAGACATGTCAGCGTATTAACCCTTCTTGTGTGCCTACAACCACACTACATCATTAACTCACATGTTCTCAAATAACAAATGCTGTTTTCCTGCACACCTTGTTTCAACAGTACCAATCCATCCCATGTCACATTACCCAGTACAAAAACTAAAATTGTTCCATCAAGGTCCAAATCGATGGAACTGCTTTGCAGAGAATAACACTTTGCCATTTAATATGCGAGGTACCAGTTACAAGCAATATACATGACATTTTGGCTGGTACTCTTTTCTCCAAGCAACACTTGTTCTGAGCTTGCATTTAAAACACTGTCTTCAGCATTCCATAAAACTGGCCCAAGATTTGAGCAGATTATTAAAAATGACTATTTCTTGATTTGTTGAGAAGGGTTGACGTGGCCGTCCAATCAGTCGACGGCATCGTCATCATCATCTTCGTCATCGTCCTCGACAACCACGGCTCGCTTCTTCTTGCGGGAGCCCTCATCCTCCTCCGATTTGCGCTTTCGACTAGGCTCCTCCTCATCAGACTATAGCAGAACACAAAATGCTCAAATGTAATTTTTCTTAAAGGACAACAGAACAAATCGATGAAGAGACTGATTCATAACAGGTGCAATGAGCTTGTTTAAGTATTTCAACAGTGTATGCTTAAAATGAAGTGCGTCCAGCGTCCTTCAGGTGTCTGGTATACCCAATCGGTGCTGCCGTACGCCAACTCCTATACATGTTCTATTCTCTAATGACCCTGTCCTTTTTTGAAATACTCATCCGGTTTATTCACAGTACTGTCAGCACCATCAAGTATTTTTCTGAAAGAGACCACTTTTCGGCTTCACGTATTTTTTTTACGGCAGACTCTTGTGCTTATGAATTTAGCTTCAGTTTAACCCCTCCAGAGAGATTTCCCTGAAAGAGTACGTGCAAATTCTCCTCACCTCATCACTGTCCAGATTCAAGGTCTTTGCCTTGAGAAGTTTGTCTTCCTTATCGGACTCATCTTCATCTGACGAGTAGATGTGATGTCTGTCAGCTGGAAAAACAAGAACATTAAATATTACAAGAATGGGTTTTGACGTGAGTTTATCAGTTTTATAACGAGCGTTTCTGGTCGAGTTCGGGCGGCCTGTTCTTGACACGGGTTTCTCGTTCTCGCGCTCGAACAGCAGGAACACGACTCAAGAACACTGTTCTCAGAAGAGGATCACACACCACCTCCTGGTCAGGGTTTTACAGGAACACACGGAAAAACTCGTGAGATTTTGATTTTTGAAGCTACAAAAAGAAGAGAGCTGGCTTCCAAACCCAAACCCAACCCAGTTTTGCAAAATTAACACTGATTATTTTCCGTAACACAGAAATGAATGTTCCTGTTTAAAATCAAAAAGAATTCAGCCCATCCAAACATGAATTCTCGAATAACGTACATGGCCGCCGCCATGTTGCTTGCCCCTACATTGGTTGTTTGTTCCCGGTGCTCGAGCGGCCGACGCACGAACAACAAATCGAGCTGTTTGTGAACATACGAGAACAAGCCGCCCGAACTCGGCCTCTGATACTGTCAAGTACTGATTCAATATACCATGCACTTCTTGGAAGCATGCAGGATTGGTGCCATCATCAGGCGGCTGTGGGCAGCCTGAAGGGCAACCTCAACTGTTCAGATGAACAGCAAGTGCCCATGGCCAAGTACTCCTCAACCTCAATCATATCAAGACTCGCATTAAATTGGCAATCTGACTTTGCATACGTGAGAATAGCCAAAACATTTCCTACAAAATTTCACACTGGTGGAGTTTGGGGGAATCAGGAAGATTTTCAGCAAAACGGTGTCATGACTTCTCAAATTGTAATTGTATTGGTTGTAAAGCACCATGACTGAAGGTAAATAATTCAGTGTTGTAGTCGAGTACTTTCCGAGTACCAACGTTCTCCGCAAAATACTGAACTGGGTATGAGGGAATAAAGCCAGAGTGCATAGGCATTTGATGGTAAATGTGCAGTGGTAAGATTACAAAATAAATGTTAGACTTCAGACACTCCCAGTTGTGTAAAATTTAAGTTTGGAGGAGAAAAGTACTCGGAAAGTACTCGGCCGAGTACTTTCTGAGTACTTTTGTCCTAAAAAGTTAATTTTAATCAAACAGTGATGGTCTGAAGTCATTATGTTGCTTTGCAATCTTACCTTTATGCATGTACCATCACATGCCGATGTACTTCAGCTTTGTGCCCTCCTAGCTAGTTAAATATTTGGTACAGAACTTGGTTCTCAAAAAGTACTCGACTACATCACTGAAATAATTATTGAAAGTAAGTCGACTCCCTGTTGAAGGTCATAGGGTATTCAAGCTAGCCCTTGTCTGACCCTGTACTGGAAAGCTATATATGGCCATGATCAAAAGTTGGGCTATGGCTGAAAGTGACACTATGGAAGCAATGACTAGCGGCTGCAGCCACTTCCTATAGACTTATGTGTTACCGCTAGCCATAGCCTGTTGATTTGGACACGGTCTGTCAACATCAACATCTGACTCACGTCTTCCGATGGAGCTTTTCACGCCCTTCTTGATGGCCGACAAGCTTATGGTTCCTTCGTCGTCATCATCAAACTCGTCTTCTCGGTCTGGCTCCAGGTAGGATGCACTCAGTCCGCGATTGTGGGCCCTTTCACGTACGCGACGCTGGGCGCTCTCTCTGCGTATCTGAGAACGCAGTCGGTCTTCCTCTTGCTGTATGTCACAGGAGACGTATGCATCAAACCATTCATCATTAGCCCCTGAAGGTGTCCAAACTGCTCTCTTTATGAGTGTGACTTATCAAAAGGTCATTATTACTGAACACGGGGGTTTGCTGCAATGTCCTTTTTTACATACAAATCTCCAAAAATGCAACCGCGTGGAGTTGGCCTCATTTCCGATTCTTGTTTCAGTATTTTTAAAGGATATATCTCTATCTTTTATTTCTATGCAAATGATATTTCAATATTCATGAGCAAAACTGTGATGTTATCCCAGGAAGAAAACTTCGATTTTCTTTTCTTTGGTGTAAGTGCACAACAAGCAACCCTCTCTCGGAAATGTTTTCTATGAGTAAATTCCGGGGTCACGCACTGAACCCTGCCTACCCCGGATGACATCACAGCAAAGTACAGCGCCCTCAGTTGTGCAGGAAAGCATGGAGAGTTTTATATGTGTAAAAGAAGCATACAGAAAAGACTTTACAAATAAGGGCTGCCAAATAATTTTCATGCATTGAAGATTGTTCAAGGAAAAAATCATTGCTGCTACCCTTTAAGCAGTTACACTTTTGAATTTGTTTTTTCAAGAGGCACATTGCTTATATTCTTGTCGGATGAAATACGATAGTGATTAAAATATATCTTTCTACTTGTGCTGAGCAAAGTCCTTCACTAGTGCCGAGGGAGAAGAGGGCAATCACCTTCAGTTTTTCAGCTCTCTGTGTTTCAGGGTCTTTCCCAGCCATGGGTAGCACTCTGATCTTCTGGGTCTTGGAGCAACGGTCGGCCAGAGATAGTGTCATCTTCCTGTGAGTTGCACTGTCCGTTGAGTGCGGTCTGTGATTAAAAAAACAGGTTGAAAATAAATTTCATCAATTGAACATATTCAGTGTCTCTTCCTACAATCGTTTTAAATAAATTCCAAGCTTCGGGTATTTCTGCCGCAAAGGTGCTGGCATCACCACAAATCCAGTGTTTTGGCCGCAACTCATCAAAATGTAAAAGTTCCCTACCAGCCTTTAATGCAGCAGATTACAACGCTCAAAACCACTGGCTGTTTGTCAGATTTCTAACACAAAGCTTATTTTGCAGAGCTCCAATGAGCCACTATGGTTTCCAACAGCACATGCTCAGTACAAAAGGCTATTCGGGAACAGGTACATGCGCGCATGACAGTCTGTCCCATCAGCATGGCCACACGCTGACTCAGGCGCGTGTTTTGTTTCCGAAGGGCCTTAGGTTTTTGAAATACTGAACTGGCTCATTGTTTATACAGTCTTTACAGACACCATGGCAGATCTAGTTAGAGTTGGGGGGGGTCAATGGGGCCATGACCCACTGAAAGAAAAAAAAAATGACTGGAGGTGCTTTGGGGGAAATTTTTTCCCCTTTTGTTCTGAAAGTGTATGAAAAGCCCCAGAGTTAACCTAACCCCTGAGAAAGGCCATGAAATGTTACATAAAGACATTTCCAAATTTTTGGTCCCCCTTAATACCTAACAATTTTGTGCCTCCCCCCTGAAATTTGGTTGTGGATTTGCCCTTGACAGACACTGTGGTACAACCATTTGGCACCAGCACCGAATCCTTCAACACTTAAGGGAGAAGAGTCAATTCCAAGGCCACGTCTGACAAAAGTTTGGAGAACCCAAGCACGTCTACTGGAAGTGGATAAAGGTTCTGGTTTCTTTCCATGCCATAAGGCAGTTCAAAACGTGGGAAAAAAAAAAATTTATGGTACTTTGTTCAACAGTAAATACAAATCCAGTCCGAGCCATAAAATTTCAGATGCAGCTGGAGACGGGAACCCAGGTTTAAACTGACCTGAAGGTAAGTTTTGTCTTGAAGACGGTTTGTCCCTGCAGCCCTGTGCCCTGTCTGATAAACATATGGTTGTGGTCTCCCTGTATGGTGGTCTTGTAGACATCAAAGACTTCCTTGCCGAGATGCAAAGACATGCTGCGTGACAAACGACAAGGGGTTCCATTTACAAACATTCGCTTGTTTTCTCAGGACCAGCAGGCTGACTGTTCTCTACAATTTTTATCTGTGTTCCGGCCATTAAAAGTTGCCTTGAAGAGGGCCACAGTGGTGTAGCACAGGCATTTTGGTACAACTGTTGGTTGCTGATTAATGCAATGCTCTTATCAAAACTTCCATTATCCCAACCAATACGAGGATAGCTGGAATGAAGGCGCAAGTCACTCTTCAACAAGTTGACAACTGAACCCTGAACACACACCAAAACGTGCCCATTGCAATGACTGTGTAGAATCATCACACTGCAGATGTTCAGTAAAACTTAAATTGCCAAGACAAATGGTATTTTCCAGCAGGTTCCAGCACGTGAAAGAGATCCTTATCAGTTATGGGGCTGCATTTAATTTGCAACAGGTGGTCTCCTCCATCAAACAAAGCTAGCGATCAATATGATGACACTGCATCACCTCCAGGCCCTTTAGTCAAGTCAAAATTACAGGGCAATGGCAGGAAACAGCGCACCCAAATATAGAACCTGCCAGCTAGTTTCTTCATGTATTGCCCAAAGATATGCATAATTTCAAGCCGCAGACATGTTAAGATGGAAAGCTTGCGGTAAGCACCATGCAATATCTCTTTTTTTGAGTCTGTGTGGTTCTGATAAGAACCGGAGAGGCTCAACGTTTTGGACAGTGTGCTCTGTCCGTCGTCAGGAGACTATAGAGATATTGCATGGTGCTTACCGCAAGCTTTCCATCTTAGTCGTCTGTCACCATGAATAGCTTGAAATCCCATCTGCAGACATGTTCTTCAATCTTCGCCAGACTTTACAACTTGATACAATCCTGGTACTGATCTTTGGTCTGTCTATCAGTCAGTGTTTCTGCTTGTCTGTTTACATTATGCCGACATCATGTCCTGCATTTCGTTGTGAAGCCTACCTGCCGTCAGACCATCGGACAATCCTTGCATTGCTCTCTCGGGTGATCTCGTTCCCTTCGTCATCCAACCTTTTCCGCCATCGGATTGTGTTCTCAACCTTCCGGGGGAAAAAACAGACAGCAAATAATTTAAGAAGACATTGAATGGATGTGATCAGCGAAAACAGACCACTGCATGAAGAAAACCATGATGTCTGTCCCAACATTGCGGGCAGACAAGTGCAACCATCAGTGAATTTGGGGAGTCAGGTTGGCATAGTGGTTCTTTCCTTGCCTTCCACTTCTGCGGTCAGGGTTCGAATCCTGGCATGGTCCACATGTGGATTAGGTTTTCAGTCCCTACCCGATTCCGTGGGTTTTACCCAGAATATTCCTCTGGGGTTTTCCTCCCACCTCTAAAACTGTGACTGCTTCTCATTGTCTCCTCTCTACAGGTTTCTTCAGGCTTGCGAGCTACACTGCCTAGGGCACTTTTGAGGAATCCTTGGTGTCATTACCAGAAATTAATAATATCTTCCTTGCCTTAAGTTTGAGTCTCGTTCTCCCTTCTTCATCCAAGACTTCATCTTCATCCATTTCTTCCTCGTAGAAGGCTTGGTCAAATGGTCTGCAATTTAAGCAACACAGAAATCCTTCTCTTAGTGACACTAGTCAGGTTTAACACGACGAACTTTCCTGAACCCTTCCACTGCTTCACTACACAAGAAATTATCACTACAAGGTTCCTGCACCTAAAGGACAAATAAATTCCATGACTTTTTAATGACCAAATTATGAAAATCCATGACCCAATAACGCAATTTCTTGGACTATCCGAACTTTTAAAGTTGTGAATAAAATCATGCATTTTATGCGCTTATATCTGGTAAAAGAATCACACACTGTGCTTAAAAATTCCATGACTTTAGTCATTTTTACAAAATTCCATGACTTTCCAGGCCTGGAAAATGAAAAAAAATTTACATGACTTTTTCATGACTTTTCCAGGCCGCAGGAACCCTGCTACTATGAACTTTGTGCTCCAACTTTTGAGGTGCATCAAACAGTGGCTGGGCTCCACCTTCCGACAGGAATTTTGAAGTATCCAGGAAGGATGAGATCAGAGAGATTCAGTTGGAATTATTCATCCTGCCGGAAAGGTACATCCAAAACATCCACCAAAATCAAATGAAATCCGGTTACTGGTTTCTGAAGGGTTTTGGACACTTGGAGGGTTTTTAAACAGCCCCAACCTGGTCTCGACACTGAGGAAGTTGGGCAGTTTGACAAAATGGAGTTCATCCCCGAGGTCCGACTGCAACCTGGGGAGTTCCACATCAATCCTGGTCTCTTCCGGGACTTCTTGAGTTGCTCCTTCCTCCTCTTCATCCTCTTGTCTCTCATTCTCCTCCTGAAATATAAAAAGCCACGGAAGTATTGTCGAGATCACTGAGCACAAGACGTATCTCAAGACTTGCAGTTTACCTACTCTTTTGTAGAGGGACTGGACATTGGTTAATGGCTGTGAAAGGGTGGAACAATGCCATACCATTTTTGAATCAAATCGAATCAAGGTCCTCCATGGAACATACCAGTTCCTCTGCATCTGTATATTTTCTTTCAGCATCATCTTGGGTTCCGCCAGCCAGCTGGTCCACCAGGGCATCCATGTCCTCGTCACTGTCTGAGATGTCGTCTGCCTCCCCAAACAGCGCTTCTTGGGATGCCGCACCTGGTAAGCAAGACAAAATAACAATACTGGGGCTTGATGTAAAGGTTGGATTACATTCATAATGCTACATTCCACTGATTCCATTGTTTTTAAACCTTAAACAACAGGAAAAAGTAACAGCTTGGGCATTCAAGGGAGTCTTACGTTGCCCCCTAATCGAGTCCTAGCAGGAACAAGAATATAGTATGTTTTCACAAAGGTTCAATGTCCCTTTGGTTGTGAAACACTGCACGTGTGAGTAGGTGCAAACCTCTTTGGTGTGAGACCAACTGAGCAGTATGCCCTACTATCTGTTGAAATGTTTAGTCTCCGCGTGTGGGCCATATGCAGCTTTTAGGATATTGGGACACCAGACACAGAGGTCACTGGCATCCCTATCAATGGGGGGCCACTTGCGCACAAAGTGGATCATCTTATAAACTGATCCAGTGACCATGGAAATGCTAACACCTGTTATCAGCAGTGGCCCCCACCAATAGCAGTAATCACCGGCATACCTACTGTTCGAAGTAACAGTTTTGTGAGACGATGCTTTCCGTCATTAATGAGGCCATCGAGAATGTACTGTGAAAAATCACTAGATTTGTCTGTAGATGGGGCTTGATTGTGAGGGCAAGGAATTCAACTCTGATTCTTTACACAGTACTTTGAGAACGCAAGAAGCCCCTTACGATAGGGGTTTCAGGTTTATGCTAGAAGGTGGACTACCTGGATCCATTGTCTCTCCGGCTTCCAAGTCTTCGTCACTTTCTTCATCACTCCCTGCTCTCTGCTTCTTCTTTGGCTTTCGCCTCCCAATGAAGTCATCTTCATCAGCATCACTATCAAGGCCATCATCCCCTGAAAAGAACAGCCCAATACAGAGTTCACCAAATGCCCGAGACTGAAACTCTACCAATAGATTCAAAACACTAAATTGATCTACACGGATATTTGCCAGTATCCCTTACATGGAGGTGTACATTTAAATGAACATGTAAATGTAGTATATAAGTTCGATTGAATTGCTTTGGCATCAGTAAGCCAAAATTCTTTCTCAATCAAAGGATGCTAGACTGCAACATTTAGAATATGGCCGTAAAGTGATATCTTGTGCATCAGTGTTTCTTTTTGGCAGTGACATTTTCCCCACTGAAAATTCTAGGATCTTTACAATGACCAGATCTACCCCAAAATCTCTACTGGTGTGAATTCGAGGCAATTTCAAGGATGCCAAATCTTCTCAAACCTTTCTGCTTCTCCTCATCAGAGTGTGCTCTATCATCCTCCTTTTCGCTCTGATGACCTGCCTCCTCACCCTCAGCCTCCTCACCGGAGACTTCCTCTCTGTCCTCGTCTCCTGATTCCCTAGCAACTGCATCAATGCCTACATCTTCCTCCTCCTCCAGCAGCTCTTTCTCATCCTCTTGGTCATCTTCTTGGATTTCTTCATCTTCCCTCTCTTCTAAAATAGCTCCTTCCTGGCCCTCGTCGAGGTCTCTTTCTGCTTCATTCTCTCCATCTCCTTCTTCAACAACTTCTCGGTCTGATGCATCATCAACTTCGGGTTGCTCCTCATCCTGCGACTCTGGCTCAATCATTTCATCATCACTCTGTCCTCCTCTCTCAGCATCGTTTTCATCAACTTCAAGACCCCTTTCAAACTGTTCCTCTGCTTCTTCCTCATCTTCGTCTTGCACAGACACTTGTTCTTCTTTCTCATTCTGGTAAACCTCGTCCTCTCCTGATGCACTCTCTTCGTCTACAGCCTCCTGCTCCTGGTCTGACTCTGCATTCTGCTCCGCTCCTGATCTTTCCACCTCTTCATCCTCCTCCCTGCCTGAATCATCCCTGGCATCTTGATCTGAGTCCTCACGAGCCTCCTGCTCTGAGTCCAAATCGCCCTCTTGGTCCGAGTCCACTCTGGCCTCTTGGTCCGAGTCCACTCTGGCCTCTTGGTCCGAGTCAACTCTGGCCTCTTGGTCCGAGTCCACTCTGGCCTCTTGGTCCGAGTCCACTCTGGCCTCTTGGTCCGAGTCCACTCTGGCCTCTTGGTCCGAGTCCACTCTGGCCTCTTGATCTGATTCCTCTCTTGTTTCATGCTCCGAATCTTCCATTGCTTCTGCTTCTGAGTCCTCTTGGACTTCGTCTCCAGATTCATCTTCTCTTTGCACCTCCTGCTCAACCTCCGCATCATCGTCGTCTGCATCCGACTGCTCCTCCCTTTCTGAGAGAGGCTCTTCCTCCTCCTCCTCCATCTCTTCCCTTTCCCCATCTGACATCATCTCTGGATCTGACATGCTTCCTTCATCCCCTTCTTCCGATTGCTCGCTGCCTGAATGATGACCCTGATCACTGTGCTCCATTTCCAACTCTGCTTCCTCTACAAAAGAAAACACACACAAGTTAAGCTTCGGTTTGTCTATTTCTTGAGCAATCAGAAATCTGTGAATCTTCCTGGAAGCAAAGAAATCGTCCAAATAATTTATGACAGAAGTTTTGAAGAGTCATGCTATTTGGCATCAACAAGGGTCAATAAGCATCAGCAAGCGTTAACAAATTATTCAAGTATTCCTATGCCAACATGCTGTACTGTTAATATTGGGGCGACACGGTAAGCCCTACTCATGCAGCCCAATCGGCTGCCATCTTGTTTCTGTTTCTGGACAGTTGAGAAAAGAAAGATCGGTCCCTACACATCACAAAAAATGTTCCTTTTCCTGCAATAATTTCGAGGCATTCACCAATTTTCTCACATAGTGGCACACGTGAGAGTCTTTTAATATGCTAATACCTCTATTTTCAAGTTGTTAATGCTTTGTTACCACTGTGAGTGCTGACGCTAAATAGCAGTGCAGGTTTTGAATGGTCTATGTTCCTAGAAACTCTTTCACACAAGTACACAGCGAATGCTTCACTGGAACCATACATGAAGAACTATTTTGTACTCAAAGTCTGAATTTTCAGCCCATGGTTTGGAGGAATGCTTAGTCTAAAGAAGAACAAGTCTACCTACGTCCACAAATGAAAGAGATCTTTAAATAGACAGCCCTTGCAGTGGTTTTGTAAGACATGTACATTAAAACATGCAAAGAAAAACAACAGACTGACAAACAATGTTTCAGTGACAAACATGACAAAATGATAAGCACATGTAACGTCCCTGAACATGTCCTCAAAACGGTCAAAAGAGAAAGACCGTGACTTCCAAATGCAGCACGCTGACTCTACATGTACTTTGATGGTTGCGTATAAAAAAAACTGCGGATGATTTTTATATTTTCAGTCTTGCTAAGACAATTTACTTGGAATATTTTTTCAGTCCCAGATTCATATCATTTGGAAATGACTGACTGAAGGCCTTAGTCTTAGGATGCAGCATCCTTTCCCCTGGAGTCTGGAATCAATTACTATGGAAAGAGTTCCATATATGGACGCCACTTGACACCCTATGCGCAAATCCTATGAGATTGGTCTGAAAAATTCTACATGTTTTCGAAGTAAACGACTTCGTATTTTCCCTCCTACATGTAAACTGAACTTTTCTGGACATGTTTTTTGCTTTCTGATGGCTAATACGTCACTGTAGGGAATAATTACTGGCGTTTGTATATGGAACTCTTCTGGAGTTTTTCACTTGCAAACCAGATTGGGAAAGTGAATGCATGAAACCATACATTTTTCAAATCGAACTAAAATACTCAAACCCCATGCCCCACCTGAAGATTACATAGACATGATAGAATCTGATGTCATTGTTCTCTTCAATCAGCAACGACTTCTTACAACCTGGGGCATGGGGTTCTTCGTTGTCAAACAAGCCCTGGGGAAGAGTTCAACATACAGACGCCAGTAATTATTCCTTACAGTGATAGCAAAAACATGGAACTCATTCCAAGCCATCAGCTGAAATGTTGTTGCCGCAGGGTTTTTTTTTACCCTTTAGCAGTCTATCACTTCTTGGGGTGCGCATCCTAGGTCAAGTTCGGGCGGCCTTTTCTTGACACGGATTTCTTGTTCTTGCACTCAAACAGCGGGAGCACGACTCAACAACACTGTTCTCGGAACAGGATCACACACCACCTCTTCGTCAGGGTTTTATAGGATTACACAGAAAAACTCGTGAGATTTTGCTGCAAAAAGTAGAGAGATGGCTTCCAAAGCCATAGACAATGGGAAGTTTTGCAAAATTAACATAATTATTTTCCATTACACAGAAATGAATGCTTCTGTTTACATTGAAAAGAATTCAGCCCAGTTATCCAAACATTAACTCTCGAATTAAGTACATGGGCGCCACCATGTACTTAATTGTTCCATGTCAAAACATATCTAATACACGGACTGAGTGATAAGATACTACAAGTACCAATGGACTCTTCCAAAACTTGGGCAGCAGTTTAGATATTTCTTGATATTGGACAGCCGTCGAGACGTTGAGGGGTCAAGTGACGTAATGTTCAACAACCTTATTTTAAAGATGGCGAATGTGAGATTGAAATGGTGAAGGCAAAAAGACTGGAAATACCACAACGACGTGAGTGAAATCATTCAATAGATGGCACAAAGAAAGCAGAGAGGCTAAGGATCATCTCTGTGTGCAAAAAAAATTGTGCCTCCGATAATAAGAGGGTGCGCCGAACATTTTCACCATAGCGAGAGTCCGTGCAGTGGGGCTAGTTCACCACACCGCCCGTAGTGGTAGGCCTATATATATGGAACTCTTTCCTTACGAGATCCTACGTTATTTTTACAAACCATGATCATCATCACCACCGTCACTTCCGAACAGTTCAGATTCCTCAATGCTGTCCGCCATGATACACGAAAATCTTGTTGATCAAATTTAGCCTAGTTTTCGGACATGCTACATTGCTAGACGCGAACACTGTCCGATTACTATACTACATGTACTAGTGATCAAAGAATATTATATTGCGCCGCATGCACACAGCAAAGCTGGGAATGATTAAATTTTACCACATGAGGGCGCTACGTAAACAATTTGGCCTTTTTTAAAATTACGGTTTTGCAAAACAAGCGCGCCAGCCATATACATGTACATCATGATGATGATGATGATGATGATGATGATGATGATGATGATGATGATGATGATGAAACATTTATTTCAATGCTGTCATTCTTTACAATGTAACCAAACACGTTACATTACTTAAGTACTGAATATACCTGGTCATTGAATTGAGTAACATTACATAAAATAGGATTACACATTTGATGAATTAGGTTTCAGCTAGGTTATAATTAAGCAGGAACGCTTTACTACCCCCCATCCTACAGACAGACAAAAACAACCATACAATATAACATAGGACAGACAAAAAGACGAACAAGAAAAAACAAACAAGTGTGAAACAACGCCGCACTAATAGAGCACAAATAAATATGAGCCGAGCAACTGGATTTTTAGTTTTCTGACAACACAGATAAAGAAGGTAACAATTTGAGAGACCATCTAGACCATTCCAGTACAAGATACCTTTGATGAATAACATCGTTCTTAGCCAATCACGTTCTGTTAAATTAGCCATACAAGTTTCCCCACACACTGCTTCGAGTATTATAAGTTAATCGGGTATTANTAATTATGAATGTTAGATGCTAAAGTAAAACAAGAATTAAAACTGGAAGGGAGTAAATTGTGCATAAGTTTGTACATGGATTTTCTCAGATTAAGTTCGCACAAATGGATACATTGCAATAGGTTTAATTTAACAAAGGAGCAGAATGATCATGATAGGCAGCACTATTCAAAATAATACGGACCGCTCTTGTAAAGTGGGTATTCTCTAATAGTATTTAAAATTCTTAGGCCATGGGTGTCCCGAATCATTGGAAAAAATTACAAGGAAGTGGGGGAAAAGGGAAAGAAAGAAAAGAGATTAAAAAGGGATGATTGGGCTGAAAATCAGTTTAGTAGGTATGAAATACTTTCGCCTTGGAAATCATCCCCCTCTGACAAAAGACGACGCCCATGTCTATGACGTCATACCAGGTCCAATTTAGAAGCCAAAAATATAAAGATATATTTACTATGCACCAAACCATGTTTGTGTTCACGTGGCATCATAAAATTCGTCCACAATAAGGACCTGTGTTGATCAGCAAGGCCTTAAATCAGCTTTCAAAGCCCAAGCATTCTTTTGAGGAAATACGTCTTACTATATGACGCTACTTTCCGTGAAGTTGATAGACGAAAACACTAACTGAAACCTTTAAGTGATGTGCTGTAGGTTACTATGTTTCAATGTATAGGTTAATGGTCGATATTCAAATGCGAAAACTGATTTAGACGGCCTGGGATCCCATTGGACTGAATCAAAGGCAAAATGACACTGAACAGCTCTGTCCGACGGCGACTTGATTGAACTTGTCCAGAAAGCAGATGGCTGGACGATGGTTGAACAAAGGAGTTGGGAACAAACAGAAAGCAGGGTGCCCCTTTGTGAGATTGGAATAGGTCAAAGAACACACACGCAACCCATGGGGACAAGTCTTAAATGGGTCTAAATTTTAAAGGAGCATCTCATAACTGATTCGGCCATGATGATCTAGCCGCCGTGCGTGTGCCCGGCCGGAAGTCGTGAAAACTTTGACGTCAGAATAATTATGCATGATATGCACGACCTTTCGCCACGCCGATGGTGCTATCACGTGGTACATTTTCATCCAATGGCTGCGGCTGTGTGATGTGAAAATAAATTCTTAGTTAGCAGACTGGATTGATTTTGAAAAAAAAAAATTAAACTACGGCGTAGCCTCTCACCTCATGAGGAGTTTCATTATATACATTATGTACAACCCCCAACAAATTTGCACATGTTCATCAGTAAAATTAAAATTGAATATACCCCCATACGTTTTGTATCGGATTTTTCAATTGGATAAGAATGGCACGTGGTAGATGCTTCTCGAAATTTCTGTGACCTTTGTCTCGCACGTGCTCACCGCGACCGCGCCGGCCGGCTTGCGCTTGACGTCACACATTTAAAGAACTGACAAAGTACGTGTTCGTATCCTGTAACTGGTTCGCTAATCGGTCGGAAGTTCCCGAAGCTGGAAGGCCTACATAACCAAAATTTCACCATTTTATAGATTCGCCTTCAGTTGTCATTTTTGTGTATTTACGAATAAAGAGGTAGGTACATTTTAGGGAAAAAGTTAGTTTTATACGCTTGTGTTATGGGAATATGATGAAGACTTCAGTTTTGATCAGCTTTCGTCAAATCACGCTATCGTTAGTTTGTAACTTGATGTTGAGTAACAAGAGGCCGTGGCGCCCACATGCAGCCCACATGGCGATCAAAAGATGTCTCACATATTTTTGCGAGGTAACAAAGAAGTGCACCCTTCATAGGTCTATTCGGAAGTGGTTTTATCGTAAATATCCTACATCATGTCCTACTAGTACTAGTCCGAGTAGGCTAGGCCTGAGACTCTGCAAGTCGCATCTTACATCCATGCACTTTTAGTTTTAGGCCGTGAGAATGAACATGATGAACATTCCGGATTTCTGTCTGGCATGTTTGGACAATTTTGAAAACCCTTGCTCATTATTCATTTGGCCTGTTCATTACTTGGACCAAAAAGCAATCACCAACCTGTCCACCATGTCCACAGTCGTGAAAGTCAATACTGTAGTAATCTGTCAGTTGTGAAAGGTCTATTCAAACATTGAGGACGAGTACATTCATGGTATTCTCTGCGTCTACGGTACGAGTGCACACGTGTGTACATTCAGTGCATGATAAGTGGCGCCATGAACTACGCAGTGCACAACGTAGGTGCATACACCCCAAGCGCGATACCCTCGCACGTACGTAAGCACGCGTTAACTTCTGTCATTACGTGGTGATCAATGCGCAACAAAAAATCCAAATGTACCATTGAAAAATGGCAGAGAGATATGCCATGGCTGAAACAAGAAATCAGTTGGTAGACATCGTCCTTTACTATGAGTTGGTTACGTGGGTTGCAAGAGGCAAAAATCAAAGCCGTTTGAAATTTTTGTAATGGTACTAAATTAGGCCTATTTATTTTTTGCAAGTCAACTTCATCATAATGCTAATCAAATGACACTTTGACTATGATTAGCAAATTTGCTAATCGATTCTATTTTCTTATTTCCATCACTGAAAGGTAAAAAAAATTCCAGTCTTTGTAACTTGACACTTAAAGGGCGTACACTGCTTTTTTGTTATTTGGTGTAGGTGTACATACACGTAATGTTAAGGTTGGGTTTTCAACGACATTCTTAATGTCGGTCAAAATGTCGGATTGGATCGGAGGCCGGTCGATGTTCTGATTAAAACATCAGACAGCAGATAAAACCCAACATCCGATAATCCCTTCGAATGAGTTCACCTGTTCTTGTACATTTGATCACAAGAAAGCACAAGGCGAATGCTTATCATTTCCCAGGTGTGGAAGAAAATTTCCCAGAAGATCAAAAACGGTGATGTAAACAACAATGGTCTTGGAACACTGAAATGATCATACCCATGCTTATAATGGCTTAAGTTTTTGTTAGTGTATTTAGGTAAGTTTTTAAATTTCTCTGGGGGTAATGAAACCAAGAACAATGAGGCCTGTAACAGCCTGACCAGTGTTAACAGGTGCATGGAATTGCTCTGAAATGTTACGATGTAAGAAATTTCAGAGGGAAACAATGATTGGAGTAGTTTTCAATTAACCCAGGGCTCGAAATTGGGCTAATCATCACTGGAGCAAGTACTTGCTCCCTAGACAGCTGAATTTGTCAGTTTACAGGCAAAAGTAGCTCCAATACAATTTTAAAGATATATGTTCAAGAAAAAAAAGCAAAGACCCTGGTCCTTGCTGTTGGTTTTGTTTAAATTAATGACACTGATAACTTACGGCTTAGACTTTAATTTAACAGATATTAAAGCCTGTATCGAGTTATTTTGGGGGGTTGCACATGACGTACATGTACAACTAGTAATGAGTACGCAACCAACTGGAACCTCAACTGGAACCAACTTTGCTTAGCGACGCTATGCAAAAAGTCGAGCACTGGGCCTTTATTACATGCATATGCAGACAGACGTAAAAGGGTACTAACTGCAGCATTGAGGCATTTTTGAAACGAGTGGATTAGGCTGAGACTTTGGTTTCGCTGGTTCCAGCTATTTTGGAGCATGGTTCAAAACCACATGCTCAAGCTATGACTGGAACCAGCGAAGCTGAAGTCTAAGCCGAATCCACGCGTTTGACTTGAATTTATGCACGAGGGGCCAGTTTCCTACAATCGTGACACAGGCAACGGGTATGCGTGTGTGTGTACGTTCGTGTAAGTGCATGCGAGACTGCGGCGCGTGTTCAGTGACATCGTAAACAAAATTGTACCATGTTCCGTGACAAGGCTGATCCGAAGTGAAGTAAAAAAGTTCCGGTATTTTCATGACAAAAGTAGAAACAAACTTTAAAAATGTTCAGGTACATGAATCAAACAGGCGTTAGTACTTGCGCCCATCATTATGATTACGGGCGCATTTCTGAGACAAATGAGTGCATTTTAGCAACCTGCGCCCATTAATTTTGATCCCTGAAACCGATGCAAAGTTGTGGAAAAAAATAAAATTGAAAACTTGCGAGTGCGTTTTAAAGTCACAGGCTCTGCAGGTTCACCTGCTCCAATCAGTTCCTTTTGATTGAGAACACAAGGCTATATTTCATGTTGCAGATGATGTCAACTTTTCATGGATACATGTACGTGTATATGGTACAGTATATTCACGTACAAGTTTACAAACAGATTGAATTTTTAATGCGTGTTGAAATCAGGATATCCTGATTACAGTAGGATTCCTGTCATGGGGATCCCACTCCAGGAAATGCAGATGTGTAAGAATATGGTATATATGTGCTCCAGTACTGGTGGTTTTACTGAATTTGGCTATTCAATTTTTTAACAAACTATACATTTATTTAGGGCATCTGGAGCCCACTGTCTCTGTGCTGCATGTGTCTAATCTTTGAGGCAACCGTCGGTTCATGTACATGTAGAACCTTGAGCTGTTATCGATGAGAACATGCTTTCTTATTGAATTCACTGGCAGTGATAGTAGCGCAGATGAGCTAACACTCTACCCTTTCAGAAACCTCTGAAATATACTGGTACCAATGCCAAGCATGTTTGACAATGTGCAGGCAGTGGTAAAGCATAACTGGTCCCAGGATAAAGGACGGGGATGCATTGTCAACCCCCAATTCCCCAAACATTTTGTCTAGCTAAGTGCAAGCCTTGGTGAGTCGTTTCATTGATTACTCTACCGTAGGCCGCATATGTTACTCACAGTTAACACTTGTGTGTAAATGTCTTGAAGTTTAAGGCTGTAAAAGTTTCTGAATTGTTAAATTTCACAGTTAGCAATATGGCCGCTCCAGCTGTGGGTATTGATCTTGGCACCACCTACTCCTGCGTTGGCGTTTTCCAGCACGGCAAAGTGGAGATCATCGCCAATGACCAAGGCAACCGGACCACCCCAAGCTATGTGGCCTTCACCGACACGGAGCGTCTCATCGGAGATGCAGCCAAGAACCAGGTGGCCATGAACCCTACCAACACTGTCTTTGGTAAGACAGAATTCCCGAAACAGGACTGCTTACAAAGCGGACACGATTGAATCACAAGTTATTTGTCAGGTCGACAATGGGTCTGCCTGCTTTTTAAAAAAATAAGCAGATCAGTTGACAGAATCTGCTAAATCATAGTTAAACACAGACAACTTAAAAATTCAAGTTTGCTGCCAAGTATTTGCTTTTTGTTGGTTTCTTTCCCAACAAGTAAATACATATTAATAACGGTTGCTGTTCTTCTGTTGTAAGCCTGTTTTGTGCAAAAACATCGTATAATATTACTCTTAAAGCAAACGTGATTCCTAAGTGACCATTACACTTCAACTTAATTTCAGACACGTCCAGCCACATCTCAGTTGAAGTCGCGCAAGGGAAGTTGGGCACTTCTGTAAAATGTTTTACGAATACCAGCCGCTCTTTAATTTTGATTTGATTTCTGTGAACATATCCCCTTGTGTCTTGACTTGCTCTGTCAAAATCGTCCGTGTTCCTTAGTAGACATATATATTTGGCATTGCTCTTGTTTTGTGTGTTTAGATGCAAAGCGTTTGATTGGTCGAAAGTTCAATGATCCATCCGTGCAGTCGGACATGAAGCATTGGTCCTTCACCGTCGTAGACGATTCCACCAAGCCCAAAATCAGAGTTGAATACAAAGGCGAAACCAAGACATTTTACCCTGAGGAGATCAGCTCCATGGTTTTGGTCAAGATGAAGCAGACAGCGGAGGCTTACCTCGGAAAGGTTTGGAACCCTGTCCTGCTGTTTCTGCGTATTTTGTTTGTATCTTGTTTGGTTTTTTTTGGGGGGGGATGTAATTAGGTTTGGGTTTTTCTGGTTTGTTTTGCTTTGTTTTTAGCTCAGTGTTTCCTGTTCTCATATGGAGGCATTAATTTTTAACTTGGCAGTTGCTTATGGAGTCATTGAGTGTAAAAGCGCTATTATGTGATGCCCCATTTCAAAGACCGTGTATTTGCTAGGGTGTCATCAGTTATTCATTATTATAGCAGTCTAAATAAGGCAGTGTTTGTAAATAAAGTGCCAAAATTTGCAGGTGCCTACTTGCTTTTGCCCAAGCTTATGTCACCGTATGACTTTGGTTCACTTTTGTGCCTCCCATCAACAGACTGTCACCAATGCCGTGATCACCGTCCCGGCTTACTTCAATGACTCCCAGCGCCAAGCCACCAAAGATGCCGGTGCCATCTCTGGCCTCAATGTCCTGCGTATCATCAACGAGCCCACCGCAGCTGCCATTGCTTACGGTCTGGATAAGAAGGTACCAATGCCCGGGCAGTTTCCTGCATTGAGGGGACTGTTGCTTTCGTCCCCGTAGCTTGTTCCAACATGTCCTGTCCCGACAAGTACAAAAACCAAACGTGTGTTCCTGCCTCTGGCAGTAGAAGTGGACAAAAGAGGAATACATGTACACGTCCCCTACCTTTATTTTTTTATTTATTTATTTTTTTGGCAGATACCTTTCCATTGTTTCCTACTTCTTTGACCGCCCTCAAGTAGTTATTAAATTTAAAGACAGAAATTCTCATTAAGAATATACAGGCTGACACATTTGGGCTCTCCTCTTTCTGGGGCCTCCCCACTTTCATAAATGCTTTACCAGGCTCTTTCCGTTGTCATCTGTAGGTGTACATGTTATTCCCGCCCGCAGCCACACCTGGTCACTTTTACTCTTGTTGAAATGTGCCAACTGAATTGGTCTTGGTCTTGCAGGTTGGCGGCGAGAGGACTGTCCTGATCTTTGACCTGGGCGGGGGCACATTCGATGTGTCGGTGCTGGTCATCGAGGATGGCATATTTGAGGTCAAGTCCACTCATGGGGACACCCACTTGGGGGGTGAAGACTTTGACAACCGGATGGTCAACCACTTCATTGACCAGTTCCAGCGCAAGCACAAGAAGAACTTGTCGACCAACAAGCGAGCCTTGAGGAGGCTGCGCACGGCCTGCGAGCGAGCCAAGAGGACCCTGTCATCCAGCTCACAGGCCAGGTGAGTGGATGTGCCCCAAGCAACGTGGCTGTTGATTGTCAGGCATGAAGATGTCCGGAAAAAAATGCTTTGAAATTCAACACTGAACGAAAATCTGCATTCGTGGTATTAATTTATTCATGATATTTTGTCTGCCACTCCCCCCCCTTTAGCATTGAAATTGACTCGCTCTTTGAAGGGATTGACTTCTACACCTCCATATCGAGAGCCCGCTTTGAAGAACTGAATGCGGATTTGTTCCGAAGCACCCTAGAACCCGTGGTCAAGGCCTTAGCCGATGCAGGTGTTGAGAAGAACAAGATAAACGACGTCGTTCTCGTCGGCGGCTCCACCCGTATTCCCAAAATCCAGAAGTTGTTGGAGGACTTCTTCGATGGCAAGGATCTGAACAAGAGCATCAACCCAGACGAGGCTGTGGCCTACGGAGCAGGTAAGGCTGCATCCGGATTACTGGGCTGCAGCTGGCGGGAACACAAAGTCTATGGGAAAAGGCTGCAGCCACCAGCCTAGCCCTAGCCATGCTGAACCCAACAAGGTTACGCAGGATTTCAATGGTCCCTAGAGGGTTAGGGTTGACTTGCAGCTTCCATTGGCAAAAGTGTTTTTCAAGCTAAAGCTAAGTAATGCAGACATGACCGGTGATGGTCAAATAACATTTTTGTGTGTTTTACCAGCCATCTTTTTTATAATGCACGAAACAAAGTCCGTCATGTCATCACCGCATATCAGATCAGAGTATTCTAGCAGATCAACTGTCTTGGTCCCATAGACTGACCTCGTTTTGTAATTTTCTCTTCAGCAGACAGCTGAAAGTGTTCCTCCGCCAGTCAAGACTTGGCCAAAATGCCAGTGTCATGTGAACATTAATCCAAACGTAAACATTTCTTTACTTCCAAAAATCAATGCTTTCTGTCATCCATGCAAATCGCAGAAAAAGCTTTGAGCTGCCATCCATCGTGAAGAGAATTTCCAGGCCCAGGCTGACTTTCTGGGTGGTTGATGTTGCTTGGTTTCCTCACTCGTTACAGCTGTGCAGGCGGCCATTTTGCACGGAGACAAATCGGAGGAGGTGCAGGACCTGCTCCTGCTTGACGTGGCGCCACTCTCGCTCGGACTGGAGACCGCCGGCGGCGTCATGACCACACTGATCAAGAGAAACAGCACGGTCCCGACCAAGCAAACCCAGAAGTTCACCACCTACTCGGACAACCAGTCCAGTGTACTGATCCAGGTGTACGAGGGGGAACGCTCCATGACCGCAAACAACGTAAGTCTGGAGTCCCCTTCCAGGCAGCCATTGTGCTTTGCAACTTGCAACTTACCATTCCGCAACCAGGCTGAAAGACGGTATTCAGACTTTCAAGCATTCCTCTACCCCACGTTACCCCTCCATGTCCGGGTGATCTGAAGCATAAAAATGTGTCTGCAGATCACTTTAGTGGTTAAGAGCGGCGAAAGTTGTGAAGTTTGCATTGTTTGTGTTTATCTTGGGAATATTTTACCGATAACGGCTTATTACCCTCTAGCCTTGTAGATTTGTGTGTCACAGTAAGATAATGCATCACGTGTTAACGAGTGACTGGTCCCAGTCAGTATGCATGTTGAAGATTCTGTTGGAAGGAGAAGTGAGCATGTAGTTATGATAAATTTAAAGTAAGTTTGGATATGAGAAAATTTGGCCATTCGTACTATCGTGCCTTGCCTCAAAAAATCATGGTTTTATTCAAACTGCACTACTTACATGAAAGAAGTACAATAACTTAAAAGTAGTTGATAGTGGATTGGCTGCAGAACTGGTCATGGAGTGGTCATGTGACTCCAGATTTTTTTTTCTTGGTCAATCTTCAATGTTGCAGAATCTTTTGGGCAAGTTTGAGCTCTCTGGCATACCACCGGCACCACGAGGCGTCCCGCAAATTGAGGTGACCTTTGACATTGACGCCAATGGCATCTTGAATGTGTCCGCTGTCGACACTAGCACAGGCAGGGAGAACAAGATCACCATCACCAACGACAAAGGTGAGGCGGGAGTTGCTTAGATCTGGCCTTGTCTTCAGTTTGCTATTCTTACTTCTGGCCGTGAAACAAAGGATACCTCAAATGTTCCCTTGGCACTGTGCTCTCAAGCCTCAAAGAAACTGTAGAGAGGTGATTGCAGTTTTAAGAGGTTGTTACAACACTGCAGCAGATTATGGAGGGAAGACCCACAGAGTCAGGTTGGCACCGAGTACCGAGTGAACATGCCAGCCCAGGTGGGATTTGAGCCCAGTCCACACCGGTGGAAGGCAGGGATATGAACCGTTGTGCAGCCGTGGGTGCTGTGGTGATATGCATCTCTTGAGAAGAGATACGAAAGGAACAAGATTTCTGTTCAAGATCCCAGACTTACTGAAACCCTGTACTTAATGGATGTGGTACTTTTCTGCATGAGTCACAGGTTTTAAGGAACCCTAACTCTCCGAGTTTTTGTCAGTTGCCAGGTGGTTCTTGTGATCGTAGTGCTGGGTTATTTCTTTACCAGCATCTTGAAACCACTTAGTGCTTTCCAACTACTGAAGAAGAGAATTTCCATGGGAATGGCATATTCAACCTTCATTACAAGATGCTAACCTTTTTTTTCTTTGCATGAAGTCAATTGGATTCGTACCTGTTCAAATACTTCTTGAGACATTTTGAGTAACGCAGCTTTAATTTGAAATTAATTCCCCCCCATTAAAGAATTCCCATGACACTGCCCGAGTTAGTTCAAGTTGGAATTAAGCTCATTCGGAGGTGTTTATATTTGCCTAGGTCGTCTGTCCAAAGACGAGATTGAAAAGATGGTGGCTGATGCTGAGAAGTTTAAGGCAGAGGATGAGGCCCAGCGGGATCGCATTGCCGCCAAGAACGGCCTGGAAGGTTACGCCTACAACATGAAGTCCACCGTCGAAGATGAGAAACTAAAGGACAAGATCAGCCCCGAGGACAAGCAAGCCATCCTGGATAAATGCAAGGAGGTCCTTGACTGGCTCGACGGCAACCAGGTAAACTTGCTTGTGCAACCTCCCAAACCACCCCCTACCTCCAAGCTTTCGGTCCCTGCTCGCACTGCGAGGAGAATGGATTGTAAGATAACAGTAGCAGATACGAATTGGCAGTTGTGTCAGATAACACATCTCTCTTCGATTCACATTTCACTTGCCATGGATTGCCTTGTCCTGGCTGTGTTTTCAGTTCTGGTAATCAATTGACCTAACTCATAAATGGATTTAGAATTTTATTGAATGGCTAAACATCCCATCCGTGTAACTGGTAATTGGTGAAAGCAGCTGAGGCCGATACAATCTGTGAAAAGCTGTAATACTGACAGTTGCATAATATTGCAGTTCTACACCCAGTCATTAAAAATTACCGATAGAACATTGTGGGGTTTCCCCTTGCACAAGCCCATGTCATTTTTTGGGTCGGTTACATGTATATCTGGGTTTTTTTGGTTGATTTTTTGTAAAGGCGACTAAGAATGCCCTAGTGGTTATTTTTTGTGACTTGCCAGAAGGTTATGAGTTTTGAATCCAGCAGCTGGACGCATGTCATTACTTTGGGCAAGGCTCTTTGCCCCTACTTGCCTCCCTCCGTCCAGGTGTAGAAACGGGTACTGGCATTGGATGGGGATTACGCTGTGATGGACCAACATCCCCATCCAGCGGAATAGGAACATTCTCAGTTGTTTTATTCCAAGGAAGATGGAGACGCTTTGCTTTTGCGCTTTCATGTTGTTTAGGCTCAAAGTACAGAGCTGCAGGTCAGGTTTTAATCGTTGATTTGGCTTTCCCGTCTTCATTCTCAGATGGCTGAAAAGGACGAGTTTGAAGATCGTCAGAAGGAACTGGAGGGGATCTGCACTCCCATCATCAAAAAGCTGTACGAGGCAGCAGGGGGTGCAGCAGGGGGTATGCCCGGGGGTATGCCCGGAGGTATGCCCGGAGGTATGCCAGGGGCAGGTGGGGCGGCGCCTGATGCTAGCACTGGCAGCAGTGGACCAACCATCGAGGAGGTCGACTAAATGTCACCCTCACCAATGGGGCTCATTGTTTTTTTTAATGTAGAGGGATACTGTAGTGCAGGGTACAGTAAGTTGTCACTTAGTGCGGGTCTTGTGGCACAGGTACGTGGTGTGAATTGGCTAGCCATGACACATGTACAGCACACAGACATATTGCTTCCTAGGTGTCAGTGTCAGATGAGTCATAAATTGTCCAGTTTCACCTGCTTTATTCTCTATTTGAATAAAAAAAAAACCAAGTTTTGACCGTTCGTCATCTGCATTCCAAAGCAAGACTAGCATAGAGTGACTACCATGCTTGATAAGTCAAAACATGCTCGATGTATGCAACACAACTTCTCTGACGTGCACTTCAAACTCAGTGGAACCTTTAAACCCACGTAAATAAAATTTTTCTGTGGCCGTTTATCAGAACCATTCACAATGTCTTGCAGTTTGCGGGAAGGGATCGGGAGGCCCCTTGAAAAGCATTAATGATTTACAAAGTTTATGTGTGTTATTAAAGATGCTGGGATATTATTAAAGTGTTGTATCACCTCCAAGACTTGCAGAAGTTAGGAGTAATAATAACTATTACGTAGGTCTTTTTTTTTTTAACACCAACTTACTGTAGAAATTCTGTTTTGCATCCAGGACGTTTTCAGTGACCAATGGAATTGTTTTCTCTGTTTCTTTCAACACAAATTGTAATACGGGTTAAGACTCCCTTCGGCCAGGTACGCAGCACAGTGTCATTACGTCTGACATCTTTCGCGACACCGGCTGACTGTAGCAGAGCCTACCGAGCTGTGTGTATGTTGCATATTGAAGAGTGAAAGATAGTTGCTAAATACGTTTTGTGACAAAAGGTGTGTACAGTATTATCTCAGTGGAACAAAATCTCAAACAGATGGTATCACAGACCTAAAATATACGTCCTGAATATATTTCGTCAGTAAACCTCAGCTTTCCTTAAGGTGCGAAAGTCACCATCGGTACAAAATACAAAGCCAGCCAAGGTGACATTTGCAGTCAAAAGGAGAATGACTGGGTGTGGGAGAACTGTTTGCTTCAATAGAGCGAGGCAGGTTTACAGAAATCCTAAGATAGTTAGGTGATAGCCAGCTGCATTTCCTGACCGGTGATGTATTGTGCCGGACATCAGTACCCCAGAGGATGGCCAGTGTTGGGCCATTAATGCTCATTTGCACCAGTGACCTGTCCTTCAGTGGCTGAATACTACTGTGATGTGAAGACACATACACATGTCAAAGTGTTTGCGTAGTCCAGTTCCTGAAGCTGCTTAGTAGAAAGTACAGTTAAGCTAAAAACCAGCAACACCTGCAACATCAATCTATACTGGTAGCTTCTTGCTTAGTGAATTTCTGTGCTTACACTTCTATGAAAGTTACCTTTTCGGATGTAATTTTAGCTGTAACCAAGATATTTGCTCTGAACGTGAATGTGTGTGTGTGAAATATGGTTACGTGGGACCCAATTGACGCGTCCAGGTTCTGCAGTATTTTTTCAACCAACTTGTGCAATGTGTAAGATTGTCAACTTTTGTATGGCAGTACATACATGTATGCACATATTTATTTTGGAATCCTGGGTTGTTCGTTTGTGTCCCCCAAAAGACATGAAACCCAGGTTGTAATTTATTACGTTTGTCTTGTGTTGATGTCCAAGCAGGGGTAACGTGTTAAAGCTCATTGTTGTCATGGTTTCTGGACAGCCCTTCGGCTTCACTTTGTCATTTCTTTGATGTTTTGTGATGATAAAACAATTTTCTCAGAAAACGCGATGTTGAACTGTTGGCTTTTTTGTACCCCCTCCCCGACACTAAACTGCTCTGCTGCTTTTCATCCACTTCAGTTAAATATTCATTTCCCCGCGGCCGCTCCGACCTCCAATAAATCCTGACCATTTCTACCCAAATGCTGACAAGAATCAAAGTTACATGCATTTGACTGTACATGTAATACCCTGTGCAAAGCACTTATTTGCAGGTTCTAGAACTAAACACGCAAGAGTAAAATACATGTACTTAACTACACGTATACAGAATTGTACACAAGACAAGCTCATGTACAGTGTACATGGGCGGTAGCGAAGCACATTGAGCGCCGTACAATATTGGTCCGCCGGTTATTAATTCCATCGGTATCTGGTAAAAACGCCGTTATATCTTGTACCAATATACATCTTCATCTATAAGTTTTGAATGTCTCAGTACAATCTTACAGCACTAACAATTGCAGTAATAGTCATTCGTGTAACAATCGATCAAACCCGAATATAATTATTTGGCATGTGGTGAGATACACCAATTTATACAGATCAGATCAACTGAAGAATAACAACTGCTGTCGAGACTTGCACTAGAACACACATGATGCTTCCAGCAATCATAGTTTACATGGTAGCAAACATTACATTTTAGAAATAGCATTCGTATGTACATTCGTGGCAACAAACAAGGACCATCTTTAACCTAACGATAAGAGTCTGTCTTGTGAAACATTTAAAACATTTACTAACCCCTAGCTAAATCGACTGAAGCTTGAATAAATAAAGCCGGTAAGAGCCGCACTCGCAATATAGGCCTACATGTGGTTTTCGACTTCTTGCGTCTCTCAAGTTGGCTCCATGAAATTACAAACATTACGGCTGTTTATAAATATGTGATATGTTTATCATCAAAAACGCTGAAAGCTTCTTACTTCAATGATGCAAACAAACAAAAATACCTTTCTTGCATGCTGCTTGAATATGTATACATAAGCATGAATGACGAACAACTGCAGTAGGGAAAACATTCCAACTACTCCATTACGTCTTTTCTTACGTACAGTGTATACGCGTTTACACACTTGCCTAAATCGCCTAGTGATTTCAAACATCCCATTTATGATGGAATGAAAAAAAAATAATAATAATGCTTGTGTATTTATCGAGCCAAAAGTATAAAGATCTGTACTATGCACAAATTACGCTTCTAATACCAGATGAACCCACCTCTGATTGACTAGTACATAACAAGTTGAAAGCTGAAGAAAAAGTTATACGTTCTACAGATTAGGAGTACAAGGTCACTTCCTCGGAGAAACGCAACGTCCAGGGGAAAAAAAGATAAAAATTCTAAAATGCTCTGAAACCTGTACCCAAAACAGTCAGCGCTCTCCTCCGTGAAGTTGTTGGGCTTCACCTTGAGCAGCTCGAATACAGTATTATTCTTAAGATAAAACAACAGTTCAGTTGTGAAGTGCTCGCTAGAAATGATTTACTTTACTCTTGTTCTCCTATTTAAACGACCCATGTTACGTAACTTTTACAAACCACATAGCATCTGGCTACGCATAATGCGTTGCCCAAATTTCAAGGACAATTATTTCCCGCTATACTACGAACCGCGGGAAATGGTCGGTATACTCAGTTATCTGATTGCATAATAACAATTTTAATTCCCCAGATTTTGGCAAGCTTTTGCATAGCGGCCACCATCCCTGGATTAGACTGGATTCCTTTGCCACGCCCTTCTTATCCCTTGATAATAGTGTATTGGTGGAAGGCGTTTCTTATGTTAAGAAGCAAGCTGTTTCTTATGTTTCTTATGTTAAGAAGCAAAAGCAAGAGCGTGTAATTAATATGGAGAATTCAAATTAGGTATAGGATATGAGAACGAACTTGGCAATGGGCGACACTGATTTGAATATGTGAGCTTCGTTTGAAAATTTGGTATTTTGGTGAAGTGGTAGGTCTGCAATGTTCAAATACTGGTAAACATGAACTGCGAGACACCACCTCGAAGTCCCAAAGAGGCCTGGGCTTTGCAGAGAAAGAGTCGGTTAGTGGAGCGTCTCACTCGCTCTCCTCGTATGCTTCCACAGATTTCTACCCTCGCTGAAGGTCTTGCCGCAGGCGGGTTAGCCACCCTGCAAGAAGAGGAAGAGGGGAAATGGAGGCAATAAAGACCGGGCAGAACCATCTTCCGTCCACCCTGAGTGACCATATACTAGAGGCTAGTTCTGACGGTGAGGGAGGCGTCTATTGCCTCCTCCCTCATGGCCTCTTTGGTTTCTGTACTGGACCCTGCATTCATCACACTCTACATGCCAGGGGCATGGCAGCAGCTGTCGTTGCATCCAGCAGCAGTGCCTTCCGCCTATTCACAACTGGGGTTGGTCCCTCATATAATCTGATCACTCCCATCGGCTAGTGGGTATGGGTCGTCAGGGGTAGCAGCAGTGACTCGCCAGTGGTGCCACCGCCTTCCGGTCTGGAGTTATGTGGTGACCCTCCCTCTGCGACTTGATCATCCCTTGCTGAATAGCTCTGAGCAGCACGCCGCCAGAGAGTCCATGTTGGCGTTGCCCAGGTATGGCTTTGGCCGGTTGTAGAGGATGGCCTTGACTTTGACTCTAAGAGACTCCTGCATCTGATGTATGACGTGACATCGCGATCAGTCTTCCCACCACCACGAATGATCATCCCAGCCAGTGGGCTTGCGACCCACCCTCTCAGGGAGTGCACAACTTAAAGAGGTTACCAGGGTTCATATCTGCTACTGGTTTGTCCACTATCGATGGGAATGACCAAATTTGTTGGCACACTCAACCTGTGCCTCAGCCCGTCCAAATGAAGTGGCATATCCAGCTTTCGAATGCGGCCTTGGGCTCATATGACATGATGTCGGGGGTGGGAAAGATATCAAAAGCCTTATACTCACGGTCCTGAAATCCTAACTTTTATTTGATGGTGTGGTTTTCTTAGGGTTTTAGTGCTAGTAATAATTTTGATACATAAATATTGGAATTAAAATGTGATAAATAAATCTTAAAATGAAAGCAAAAGTGAAAAAATTCGTCGGGGGACCACCCAGCCCCCGATACGCCACTGAATCTGTTGTCTTGTTATGTATACTACATGCATTTATACCCATGGCGTAGACCACTGAATTCCACTGAATGGGCCACCCGGTCAAAACAAATAAATGATAAGGATGAGTATGCGCCTCCAAGAGTTTGCGACGCGTTGGCCAATCACAACACGCAAAATCTGTCGACTTTCAGTCGGGCAATATGTCATCGTGGCACGTATTAGTGCAGCAATGCAGTAAAAATCAACTCGTACCGAAACGCACTCGTATCCGGGTGTGCGCGCGTGCACATGTACAGCATGTCATGCCAAAAAGTCCGTACATTTTTGACCGCTGTCGGTCATGTCGGAAATTTTAATCCGCATGAAAAACGAACCGCATTTTCAGACAAATGGCTTTCGATCTTGAAGAAATGAACTGATGGATACAAACGATTCACCAGTCTTCCAGACAATATCACCGATGATCTGAGGGGAATTCGACAAAAATGTGAAAATTGGGCACTTAAGTAAGGTGAAAAACATGGAAAATGACGAAAATGGGTCCCAATGAAAAACGAAGTGGATAAAAAAAAGTTTTCTACCTAGAAGTAATTAACCTTTTTGACCATAAGAGTTTAATTCTAGTCTTTCATGAGGTATCAAAGTTATTTGAAGGTAAACCCGGCAAAACTATGAAAATTAGACACAAAGTTAGCTAAAAACGAGAATTTTTCATAATTATCCTTTGTCGAAAAATTGACACTTTCCACTTCTTTAATGAGTTTCCGGAAATCTTTGTTACCAGAAGCTACAATCCTGGACAAACCTCGTTGGAACATGCCTCCCCCTCGCCCCCTGTCAATGTTGCTTCTCATTGGTTAAGTTGGGCTGAATCTTGGTCCAATAAATGACCGCAACATTGAATGGGGGAGAGGGGGATCTTTGCAACGCGCTTCCCACAAGGTGTTCCAACTATTTTGTCCAGGAGTGTCTGAGTTTCTGAGTGGACAGTGGGTGTCAAGAGTGTGGGTCTGTGTTACCTGGGAGGGCTTCGGTTTGCTGCGTTGCTGTTTCGGGCGCTGCCGTGTGATGCAGTAAGCATTACATGGTTATGGAAAGGAATAAATAATGACTATTATAGGCAAGGTGTGGTAATATGTCCTGTCATCAGGGGCATAAGCCCCCCTTAAAAAAGTATATGGAATTACATATTTATTAAATATTTAGTGATGTAGGAGCTATGGGTTATGACCACCCACCAGTACAGGATTATTTTCAGTGGAAGGGTCCATAGTCAATTTGAACGACTGGGATTGCTGCTCGCAAGTATGAACAACAAGAGGCAAGTTGGCCGTTGAAAATGGGATAAGGTAAGGGCATCGTGAACGGTGCACCACAGAACTTCAGCACACATCTCTCTTAAATGAAGTTTTGTATTCGGTCTGAAGGGCTATATGGCTACATGATGAGTACGCAATTCTGTCCGACCTCTTTTCACTTTCTGATTGGGTTTCAGATGAAACATTGCAACGGTGAACCCTGAAAATTAAATGAAAAAGGATGTGAGTAACTCTCTTTTTTCAGTTGAGGTTGTGTACCGTTGCTGTTGTTATCACGTGGGCGCGTGCAGCATTTTCAAAGAGCGGGATGTTATGCGCGTTGA